GGGGAGATTCAAAATAGAAACTTTTTTACAAAAGTGAACTTATTCAACTTAATATTTAAAAATGTTTCAGAAATACTGCGTTCTTTAAACATATGTCAAATTAAAGCTTATGGCATGTACTATAATATGAAAAATAAAAATTGTCCCGACTACCTATATTCTATGTGCAAATGGCCGCCGAAATTGAACAAAAAATATTATATTTTTGTAAAAAACTGCCACAACTGCCATGTACTAATAATTAAAAAAAAACCCAGCACAGGGGGGTCGCGGCATAGTGGTGACGTGGCATAGTTGGATCAAGTATAATGATATCTGACAGTGATTAAAATCACTATCATAAAAAACGCTTCGATGCAAATCTTTAGATAGTGTTTAATTTTAAAAAATTGGTGGATTATTCCAAAAGCTTCATAAACTGCTAGTTCCTTATTAATANATTATCTTGATTAAGATAAAGTATGTCGAATGAAAAATGGATTATTAAGAAATATTATTTCTCATAAAAAAATTATGTTGATCAATACACTTTTCAATAAGTTATAGCATTATAAAGTTAAAAATATAAAAAATAATTTTTTTACAAAAATCGTATTTATAGCATTTGGTAGCCATTTTCACCNATCGTATTTTTTTAATTAAGTTTAATGTCTGTTTTTACCATGAACATAAAATAAAGTCCGAAATTTTTTTTTTTCGATAATAAAGTATATTACACTAGCTTTAATTTAAGATATATATAAAAGTGTCAGACTTTCCGGAACATTTTCAAAAGTCAAGTTGAAAAAATTAATTTTTTGTAAAAAAGTTGTAATTTTAAATCCCCCTCTGTGGGCAGGTAAATGGTCAGATATAAAAAAAAAATATATACCAAATGAAAGGTAATGATATCATGCATCTATATAAAAAAAAATTATATTGATTTGGTTATTTTTAAAAAAATTATGGCAATTTTAAGTAAAAAAAATTGAAAAATTTTCGAAAATTAGCGATTTTTAAATTTGTAATTTTTTTGGAGGTTTCCCCCATTAACGGGGAACGAGGGTAATGTCTTCGACTAGATACGATTTGTGATCTTTTAACGTATCATTGAAAGAAATCGGTTGGGTTGAGAAAAGTGGTAACAGACACAAAAAAAAAAAAACACATATTAGTAAAACTAATACCTTCTCAGCTTCGCATCGAAGCTAAAATAGTTGTATATTTCTTTACTTTTAACGTGTCTAAAAGGGCTTGATGCAGTACTTTTCGATAAAAATGTTTTATTACTTATATTAAATTATAATTTTTATACACTGGACTACAAGGAACTTTTATAATTAACAATAATATACTTTTCTAAATCAACTTTTCGCGATGTTTTCAGATGTACAATTAGACTTTTTCTATCACTTTTAAATTTTAATATTATTACTTATTATTAAAAAATAAGTATTTACATATAAAAAAAATAATTAAGAACCAAAACAAATTGTTTTATATAATTATTGATTTTGATTATTAATATGTTAAAAATAAGGAAAATTACATATTTAACCTATTTTTTTAATCTTTTAAAGTTGATTTTTGTGAAACTTCATAGTAAAAAAAAATTAATTTATTACCATAACTTTTAGCTCAATTTGCAAGTTTGAAATTGATATCATTAAATAGAAAATTTTATAAGAATTAAAAAAATTGTATCGTTAAGATTAATATGCAGCCAGGAAATTTTATAATAACTATTTATAGTAAATTTATCAGAAAAGCTCAATATATTTTTGCATTTTTATCGTAATAGATAACTTAAATAGAAATAATAGTAATCATTTCCTAGTAACTTTTGGTGTTTAAAAAGATTCT